GATGATGGTCCGAATGATCATGGTTAAGCAATGGAGGTTAGAGGACGATAGCCATAGGATTATATTTGAGCAGATGGTGATCTAATAATGTTGGCTGGTGGTAGTTAGATGAAGGAAGTCAGAAAGTGATCTGTTGATAATGATTGAGTAGTGTTTCAATGATGAAGGTCAAGTAGTGATTCAATGATGTTGGTTGGGTGATGTGATGTTGGCCAGGAGATAGTTTGATGACAACGGTTGGTAGGTTGATAGAGTCGTATCTCATGGAAGGATGTCTACAACCTAATTTAGATTCGGGTTGATAAAATTATTATTTTGGTTGGGTTTGAATTTGAAATCTTGGCTCAATTCATTTTACATCAACTTCAAGTTGTGCAAAAACTAGATATTTACTTTAAAATCGGGTCGGGTTCAACCCGGATTTTCCAGGTTGGGTCCGGGTCGGATTTTCGTGTCGTGTCAAATATTGACACCCCTAGGTAAACAGATCTTTTTTTTTTTAAGGTTTGTATATTTAGGTTAAATAGATCGTGTTAATATTTTTAAAAAAATGCATGATTCACATTATTAATGGGTCAAAATGGTTTGATTTATATTATGTGGTTTCAAGTTAAGTCTACAACAACAACAACAACAACATCAAGCCTTTATCCCACTACGTGGGGTCGGCTACATGAATCCTTTTTCTCCATTGTGTCCTATTAAAAGTCAAATTCTCGTTTAAATCTAATAAAGAAAGGTCATTCCTAATATTTTCTAACCATGTCTTTTTAGGTTTCAAGTTAAGTCTGGTTTTGAGAAAAAAAATTTGACCCATGTCATAGATTGGCCTAGTTTGGATCAAGCAAATTCACTTTGAATCAGACCCAACACTACTAGGGATCGCTTTTGACCCATGTCATAGATTGGCCTAGTTTGGATCGCCTAGTTTGGATCAAGCAAATTCACTTTGAATCAGAGTAAATTAGGGAGCGCGGGATGAGGGTTTGCTTTTGTTGACTTCTACTAGTTATTTCCTGTATGTGCCTTGCTTTTTACCTGTGTTGATGATATACTTGAGGTTCTGATTAGCCTTTAGTTTAATATTTTACTTTGTTGATTATGTTTTCTTGAATTGTTTTGATATCTGGTTGTAAAACTCTTTATTGCTGTTATGAATTTTGAAGGTATTATTTCTATTAGGGCTGCTGTTTGATATAGGTCTTTGAGGGGCCTTTTAGCTGGAATTGGGATTTAGTAAATACTGTAAATACAGATTTAGTAAACACTGAGAGGTTTAAAACCTGAAAATTGTTTGACATCACAATTCTAAGGGGCCGTTTGGATGCAGCTAGGATTTAACTTTAGTAGAATTTTGTAAATCCTCTTAATTAGTATTTACTAAATCGCGAGCGTTTTAAATGGTGAAAACTGTTTGGCAATAAGTATTTTAAATTTTGATTAATCCTGCGGGATTGGCACACAATTCACGATTTAAGATGTTTAATTCAATTGATTTATATTTAACTAATGACAGCAAGATATATGGAAGTTGCAAATAAATAAAAATTGTTTTCTTCTCGATGTTCCAAGCATTAAATGCTGTCCAGTTGAATGGCGTCGGTGACTTGTTGCCTGGTAGTGGGATAATATGACAGAACTTGTGCTTTGAGAAATTAATGATATTTTTCTTGATAAGATAAAGACTAACATATGCTTCCCACAAACTAGTTGATGCAGTATAGTGCTCCTGCGGCATACCACAACCAGGACTAACTACCAGATACGCCATCCACTACCGCATATTCCATTTCTTATTTCTGCTCCAATAGTTTGCTTTAATGTTGCCTTTTACTTTTATAGTATTTTCTGTTTTATTGCTACAGCAATAGAAAATATACATATAGGAGAGCATAGCTTAGAGCTTGTTAGACAACTTTTTACCAGTTATCAAATATACGAAATACAGGAGCATACCGCTCCGTTTCCCTGTTCCATTGCTTGGCTTGCGATTCTTTCATACAGGTTCATCGGAGATCCAGCGACGGCATCACAAACCCATATTAAAATGTTCAGTTTTTTTTTTCAAATTGCCATATTCAGAGAAAGGGTCATGAATCCCCTGGCTGCCCAAATTGGCCATCCAAGGGGAGAATAGCATTGTCCAAGGCATAACAAGAATCCCACCACACCAACTGAAGCATTAACGAACATCTAAATATAAAATTTTATTAAAAAATCTAAAAGCACATAGCTGCAAGTTATTATATCCACTGGTTGCCTAGTAACATAGTTGCACAAAGATCATCCAAGCAGATCTACCTTTGAAAGACGAACCCAGTAAGCCACAATCCATTTCAGAGGTAAACTTCTGTGAAGAAATTAATTTAAGCTTTTCATCATGGTCCAGGAGACTAGGAGAGCAAAACCCCATATATCAAAAAAAGCATGAAAACCCTTCCAAAATAATTTAAGCAAATATAAGACCATGAACAAGACAGAATAATCAACTTAGATTTAGTAAAGAGAAAAACAAAATCTTCAAGATGAGTCAGAAACCGTGATTACTCCAACCAAATATTCCACCACCTAGCAAGCCTCTTTTCACCGAGAGTTTGGTAGAAAACCCTAACCCTAGGCCCCACACACCTTCGATTTCTCACCGCAGCCACATCATTATTTCTTGCGTGATTTGAGCGCAGAGAGAAAGAGCGAGTTTGGGTGAAAACCCTAAGCCCCACACACCTTTGATTCCTTGGCCTTCCGCCTACACCCTTCGGCCAGGACTGAGAGAGTTTGGGTGAAAACCCTAGGCCCCAACCCTACACACTCATGTAAATTGAGCTAGAACAGCCTAAGTTTTTCTACAGCCTGAAGTTTAAGATTCGAATGGGTGTAAAGGTCGAACTCAACAAGCTAAAATGTAAATGAGTCGTTGGCATCTCCATCTACTTAACAAGTCATAAGAAAGGTTGTAGTAAAGGAACTCCCATTTCGACAACCGTCAGTAGGGATTGTAAGAAGCATAAAGATTTATCTGACTTGACACGTTCAGATAGTCATGGTCCACAAATTCTCCTAATAGACTAGAGAATAAAAGTTTTAATGGGAAGGATGAGTCATGAGAAACTATCGAATATATGTAGGTTACAAAATCTTCAATTATAAAGGATAACTCCTAATCTACCAACTTTAGTAGATTCAACATTGGATAGCGCATTTCCCATTGCTCAGGTCTAAAGTTTGAATAGACATGTTAGGTTGGACTCGACAAGCCCATATGTGATCGAGTCATCAGCAGCTCCATTTACTTAACACATTATAAAAAAGGTCGCACTAAAGGAACCCACATTTTAGCAATTAGATGACAAAAGCTTTTAAAACCTAGCTCACCTAATTTGATGAACTCAAGTGACCTAGATTGAAGTCTTCTTGATTGGTTAAGGGTTAAGGAATTACCTATATTTGGTATTACCCACTAAACCCAGCACTTGTAAATCCTTCAACAAATTTGTAAAGCATCAAGCAAGGATCGAATGTCTTCTTTGACAAATCCACCAAAGCACAACACAAAGGATGGAAGCATAAGGGAGAAGGTATGCAAATTTCTTTACAAGTCAATAAAAGCAAATCAGGTAGTCCTTTACCAAAGGCTGCCGCATAAAGCAGATGGTAGAAGAAATCAAAGCCTCAAAACTCAAACCAAAACTGTGGAAAGAGCGCAACTGCTAACTCCAACAAGGGTTTAAAACCATGAGTACAACAACCACTGAAGTCACAAGAGTAGAAAGAAGGGAACTTGTGAACTGTTGAATTTATAAATTGCTTTATTTATTAATTCATAATCTATATATAAGTTTATAATTTTCATCGTTTTATAAGCTTACATTAGTCAAAAAGAAGAAAAAGTACATTGTCCTTCACTGAGGATTAAACTCTATCTCCTAAATATGTGCCTGAAGAGGAAGCCAACAGCTTCGCTCTACTCAAGATAGGGCACTTTTCACTTCTAGGACCTGCACAAAGCAATAGAAGAATCGGCAAAATGAAGAGAGAAAAGATTATGCAAATGTATATAAAGCTACAAAGAAAGAAGTGTACCTGAGTAACTCAGGGCTTCCTACTGGAGCTGACTGTTTGTTTCCAAATATCTCCTAGAACCTGTGTAGAGTGACATAGGAGTATATAATCTAACCAAAAAGGAAATGCACAAACTATTAAAAGTGTTATTGAGCTAAAGTCTCCTGCAGCTAGCTAGCTAACTAACTTCTGGTTCACCTTGAAACCTACATAAAAACATGAAACATCATCAATACCAATGTAAAGTGAAAACTAAAAGGAAAAGGGAAGAGGGTGAACATGAACTGAAGGCCACTATAGAAAACTTAAGGCAGCAAAGTCCTACAAGATGGTAAATTTGTAAAGCTCGGGCAAATTCTAAATGATACTTAGAATTATGATAAATATTGAGTATATGATAAAATGCTGTAAACTAAAATGAACGTGGTGGAAAAAGAAGAACAATAGGTGGCAACGTTATCTAGTAGTGTCAGTTGGCAAAGCCATGCTCTAAGAATCTAAAGTGTGAAGTGTTATGTCACTATCCTATGTGTCCCAACTTGACTAGCCAACATGTAAATTTTTCTATTGAAACATCTAAAAATATATAAAGACAGATAACTAGCATGACATCAAAATATAGACCCTCAGAAATCTGTAAAATGAAACCCTAGTGTGATATCCAGCATAAATATTTAATGATCCATAGGGTCAACTAGACCCCAAAAAGGGCTGAATTAGTAATTTAAAATTTTCATTAACAAAAACAAATTTATAACTTTTTCAATATATGAAAACAAATAATTTTATCACTCGATGCAGAAGCTAATTAATTTAACAATAATAAAAAGATCAAATTTTTAAACCATATAATTAATCACAAAAACATAAAGTGTGAAAATAATAAGAACAAACAAATCAAAATTTATATTGGTTTGGTCAAACCTACATCCACTCCCTGGAGTCCTCCCCTGAGCATTGCACTAAACAATTAGTGACTCTCCTTCAGCCCCCATAGCTAGGCTGAGAAGTCCTTACAAAATCTCTTCCACCAACTCGATGCGGTAGAGGACCTTACTCTTTCACCTCCTAGTGAAGCAAATAACCTGGAATCATTTTTCACCCTTTTAGTGAAGGTAGAGAACCTGAAATCTTTTTTCACCCTCTTAATGAATGCAGCGTACCTTGAAGCTTTTTCTCTTTTTAGGAGAAGGTGGAGTACATTGAATCATTTTTCACCCTCCAAGTGATGCCAGAGAATTCCAACCAAGTGTCATAGAATGTATCCCCGAAATCACCAAAGAATTAAGATAGAGACTTGAAGAATACATGCAAGAACCTTACTTTGAGTAACCTTGTGAATCCCTCACAAAAAGCACTTCCCTTTTTTCTCTCCCAAAGCTCTATTAATCTCCTTCTCTATGCTCCCTCTCAAGACACATAGAAACAAAAAGTTTGTTGAATAAGTCTTAGTGAGAGTTTAAATAGAGAGACTCTCAAAAAGCCTTATATTTTAATCTGTTGATTAAGATTGTCTAGTAAAATCTTACGACCGTCTTATATAATTAGTACAAAATAGCAATTTTAGATATTACGAATTGCATTGTTATATACTTTAATTTCAAGAGTTTGTATTGATCGTCTAATACGATTGGCGACGATAAATCTTTATCCCTTGCAGCACTTGGTTCATACAATAGAAATTGAGGGATCGTCCTGTACGATTAGTTGAAAAATTATAGTATTTTATATTGTACGATAGTCGACAATAAATTATCATCCCATGCATCGCTCGTGTCGTACAGTATGATCGTCACCAATCGTCCTGTACGATTTGATCGAACAAATTAGCCATAATTATTCTCCTAGTCATAGGATTAATTTAAGCATGATTATCATATATCATACAATATAATGCATATCGTACAGTATGATGCACATCGTATGATATGATTAAAATAAAATTTCAGTTTCCACCAGTTTGTACCTTTCGACAATACAAACTGATGCAGTATAGTGCTCCTGCGGCATACCACAACCGGGACTAACTACCAGATACGCCATCCACTACCGCATATTCCATTTCTTATTTCTGCTCCAATAGTTTGCTTTAATGTTGCCTTTTACTTTTATAGTATTTTCTGTTTTATTGCTACAGCAATAGAAAATATACATATAGGAGAGCATAGCTTAGAGCTTGTTAGACAACTTTTTACCAGTTATCAAATATACGAAATACAGGAGCATACCGCTCCGTTTCCCTGTTCCATTGCTTGGCTTGCAATTCTTTCATACAGGTTCATCGGAGATCCAGCGACGGCATCACTAGTTGCGATTGAATGCTTGAAGGTGTCACTTTGTATTGTCTCTCTAGCTCTTCCATGTAAGTTTGGGTCTTCGTCATGGACTTGAACTTCACCCAAATCACTATTATGATGTATTTCAGTTTGTGATATATTAAAGTCATATCATTCCCATGGTAGTGTCCAATGAGATTGTGCAAGACTACACAAGCGAGTATAATGTTAGCCTAAATCATTAAGGAAATCATCTCGGAATCTCTCTTTTCATATACCAAATGTCCTATCTATCACATTATACAATAGTGCATGACAATGATTGTATTGCTCCTACATGGCAGAGAATCTACTAGATGTTTCCCAAATGATAGTGTATATGTTTGATGGAATGGGGATTCCTGCAGGTTTGTGCGTGCATTCATCTCTGTTTCTGTCTGTTATTTAGGCTTCGTTTGGAATGGCTTTCCTACTACTAGTACAAAAGTTTTAATTTTTTAATTAAAAAATTGTTTTAAGTAGTAAGAAAGCAGTCTCAAACGAAGCCTTAGATTTCTTTTGGGACAGTTTTTTTACTGCTGCTTAAAGCAGTTTTCTATTACAAAAATTTTAATTTTTGCACTAGAAAGTTGCTTTAAGAAACAGTAAGAAAGCCGTCCCAAAAGAAATCGAAGTTGATTATGGGTCAACCCACTTTAGCCTGGTCGGCTCTAGTCCACGCATTGAGCTGGCCAGTTCGTCGATATTCGTTCAATTGTGTGCATTTCATCGCGATTGCTTTTTCAGGTTGGTGTTATGAGTGTTGTTGCTAGCCACCCTTTTATGCTTGTTGCTATATATTATTTCCAAGGAACAACAGCCTAATTCTTTTCAGCTCATTCAGAAAGAGGACTAGCATCAGGTTTCAATTGATTAGTTTTTGTTGCTTTTTAAAATAATTTTTAGTACAAAAATTAAATTTTTTTTTATTTTAAACCTACTTCAAAAAGTAGTAAGAAAGTCACCATGGGTGGGTGTAGGTGGGATGAGCCCGTTCGAGCAAAACGTGGTACCCAACTAGGGCCCCATGTTGGGCTTTGCTCATCAACCCTAATTTGACTTAGTATCTCATTGGGGTTGAATTGAAATATATTGAGTTGATTTATATGGTTAAGAATGGGGGTGTTAGGGTTGGTTTTATGCATATAGGAACACAATTAGTTGGGATTCTGCTTGTTCTTGTTTTGATTAAGGTTGTGATGATGGGGGTATTTTTGGTAATTAGAATGGCAGTGTGTATAAGATAAATATTCATGAGTGTGAGGTTTTATTAGGATTAATGGTGATGAGATAATACAATTGATTGATTGGTGAAGGTTTAATGGTTTGATTATTTATGTTAAAGATGTAACTTGGCTTAGCCAAGAAGGTAAGAGCTTTGTCTCCCTTCGTCATATCATACAAGAATCATAATACAAATGACAAATTAGAACAATAATACAAGAGTCATAATAAAAAATGTAAAATAAAATAAAATTTTGCAAATAATACCCTTAATTTTCTAAATACCAGAATTATAAAATTATTTTTCAAGACATTACACAAAGACCTATAAAAAAATACAAATACATAACAGTTTTATGACATATATAAAAACCACTCCTTTACTTAACATACTCATTTATAAACCATCATAAATTCCAAACTTCACAAACAAAACTATAAAAAATTTAATTACACGCATAAAATAAATGAAATAATATAAAAAATAAATCATTAAAGATACTCCCCATCTCCCAAGAAATTATTCCCAGCAAAATCCAGATAGAAAGTTCCCATCCAGAATATGAGTGTACATTGAGTATAATTTTCATACATACTTTGGTTCAAATTATATGCCACTATTTATTTTGTACATAGTATGTACACTCACAGTCCGAATGAAAACTTCCCGTCCGACTCCGCACGGAATAATTCAACCATCCATCAATCAATCACATCATCTCCTCATCCTTAACCCCATCAAACCCCTCATGCCCATGAACAGACCTCTCATATGTCTCCCCATCCCCCCATACCGCATACGCATCCTCTCCATGTATGGCATCATCTCCCACCACCAATTCCTCCTCCCTCAGCCTCAGCGCCACCACCATCCTAATCACCACACATATCGCCGTCGTCACCACCACATTCCAAGCACCAACAAACAGTATCCCCACCACCTGCATTCCCATCTGCCTCAACCCGGCCCAAACCCGCCCATCCTTCAACCCGAAAACCAGCCCGATGAATTTCGGATCATCCCCAAAAAACAACTTGGTGAGCTTCGGGTCGGCCAGTCAACAGCCCGCCCAGCGCCCCCGTGACGTCGTGCGTGTGGAAATGGCGAGCGTGTCGTCTATCTTTTTCAAAACGCGAATGCGTTTGTGCAGAACCATCATAGTGAACCAAGGAATGCTGCCAGAGAAGACGACGATGAGGACGGCGGAGCTGGACTGAACGAGGCCGGCGGCGGGGGTTACGGTGATGAGGCCGACGATCATGCCCTGAACGGTGCCGATGACGGAGGGTTTGCCGAAGAAGAAGATGTCGAGGTAGAGCCAGATGAGGAGGTTGGTGGAGGTGCAAATGTGGGTGTTTAGGATGGCGACGGAGGCGTCGATGTTGGCGGAGTACGGAGCGCTCGGTATTTCTCGTTTGTGCTTGCTACGTGGCATGATCTCAGTGTCGGACGAACGTAGCTCTACGTACGTTCACCGGACCAAATAAAGGTTCCTTGATTTGGACATGTTTGGGCTCGAATTGGGTTGGATTTTGTGACATTGTGTTCATATTTTCGAGATGCACAGTTTGACTATAAGTTTGCTGAAATCATAGTTCAAATCAATATTCATGCCCGATCAAGATACTTTTTTGATGACGTATCAGTTATAAAGATTATAATATTAAAAAAATGTTAGCTAGATCAATAAGTTCCCATGCCCTCAGAGCCCCTATTAATATATTTTAAAAAAGTGCCAATATACTTCTCAATAAAAAAAACATGAATTTATTAATTTAAATATTCATTTCAACCAAATTTGAATTAGAATATTCTATTTATAACCAAAAAAAATTCTCTTTTTAGCCCCACCTTTATAGGTCCCAACACCCACCATCCATTGATTCAAAAAGATTCCATTCTTTCCTCCCCCACAATCTCTCAACAAACTGAATCCCCTTTCTCCGCCTCTACAAATAAATCCCCGGCAACTCCTCCACCCCCATTCCAAAACTCTAAATTCTCTCTCCCCCAACAATGTCTTCCCCCGACTGGCTAAACAAAGGCGACAATTCATGGCAACTCGTCGCTGCCACTCTCGTCGGCCTCCAAAGCGTCCCTGGCCTCGTCATCATCTACGGCAACATCGTCAAGAAGAAATGGGTCGTCAACTCCGCATTCATGGCTGTCTACGCCTTCGCCGCCGTCTTCCTCTGTTGGTCAATTTGGGCTTTCCGCCTCTCCTTCGGCGATCCGTTTCTCCCTTTCTGTGGCCGTCCGGATCTCGCAGTGCTCACTAATAGCTATATAACCTCGCCAGGCTTTGCCGGATTATATCCGGCGGAAACGCTAGTTTACTTTCAATCGGTGTTCGCGGCGATAATCCTAATTTTGATCGTCGGCGCGTTGCTCGGCCGGATGAATTTTAGGGCTTGGATGCTATTTGTGCCATTGTGGCTTACTTTTTCGTACAGTGTTGGATGTTTTAGTTTATGAAATCCGAATGGATTTCTGTCGAAGGCGGGGGTGATGGACTTCGCCGGAGGTTATGTTATTCATCTTTCGTCGGGAATTGTAGGGATTACTGCGGCTTATTGGGTAATTGGTTTTTCATGATTAATGTTATTAGGTAATTGGTTTTTCATGATTAATGTTATTGATTAATATTTTTCATGAAACACCAATTACCCAATAAGCCGCAGTAAGCCCTGCAATTCCAAACGAAAGATGAATAACATATCCTCCGACAAAGTCCATCACCCCCGCCTTCAACAAAAACCCATTCGGACTCCATAAGCTAAAACATCCAACACTGTACGAAAAAGTAAGCCACAATGGCACAAATAGCATCCAAGCCCTAAAATTCATCCGGCCGAGCAACGCGCCGGCGATCAAAATTAGGGTTATCACCGCGAACACCGATTGAAAGTAAACGAGCATTACGGCCGGATACAATCCGGCGAAGCCTGGCGAGGTGATGTAGCTATTAGTGAGTACGGCGACATCCGGACGGCCCAAGAAAGGGAGAAGCGGAATGCCGAAGGAGAGGCGGAAAGCCCAAATTGACCAACAGAGGACGACGGCGGCGAATGCGTAGAGAGCCATGAATGCGGAGTTGACGGCCCATTTCTTCTTGACGATGCTGCCGTAGATGATGACGAGGCCAGCGACGCTTTGAAGGCCGACGAGAGTGACAGCGGCGAGTTGCCATGAATTGTTGCCTTTGTTTAGCCAGTCGGGGGAAGACATAGTGGGGGAGAGAGAATTTAGGGTTTTGGAATGGGGGTGGAGGTGTCACGGATTTATTTGTAGAGGCGGAGAAAGGGGAGTTTGTTGAGTGATTGTGGGGGAGGAAAAAATGGAATCTTTTTGAAGCAAGAAAATTTTTTGGTTATAAATAGAATATTCTAATTCTAATTTGGTTGAAATGAATATTAAAAATATTTAAATTAATAAATTCATGCTTTTTTTATTTTATTGAGAAGTATATTGGCGCTTTCTTAAAATATATTAGTAGGGGCTCTGAGGGCATGAGAACTTCTTGATCTAGCTAACATTTTTTTTTAATGTTATAATCTTTATAATTGATACGTCGTCAAAAAATTATCTTGATCGGGCACGAATCTTGATGCAAAATCAAGTCGGAAACTTTCAAAATTAAAATTGGGATCATTTGAACTCCGATTTCAGCAAACTTATAGTCAAACTGAGCGTCTCAAAATTATGAACATAATGTCACCAATCCAACCCAATTCGAGCCCAAACATGTCCAAATCAAGGGTTAGAAGCGTTGTTGGAAGGTTCGATCCACATTTTGGATTACTAAATGGTTTCCAAACATAACATGCTTATAGCCAAATCGAGCGGCTCAATAAGAAGAATCGAACGAGCCCAAGATAACCAAAATCCGACATCACTAAGACATTCAAATGTCCATCAAACGGTTCATAATCAAGGGATTCAACATCGGCCGTCCATCCAACCACTCCCATCTACCCTTGATCTCTCACATATTTACGGGTCATGCCACTCCAGAAATCTATAAATAAACCCTCATTTCTCTTGAAAAGGGATTCAAGCAAGAAGACTAAAAGAAAGAAGAGAAGGAAGAAGCTTTTCCTCAACCACCGTCCTCGCCTTCGGCAGACAACCACCTAAGGCCATCGCCTTCGGCGGGCCACCACCTGAAGCCCTTGCCTTTGTCAGACCACCACATGAGTTCCTCACTTTCTCTGGACCACCACCTGAGGCCCTCGCCTTCGCCAGAGCACAGCCTAAAGCCCTCATTCTCGCCGAACCACCACCTAAGGCCCTCACCTTCACTGGACCACCACCTAAGGGCCTGAATTTCGTCATACCAACCCTTGAGGACCTAAACTCTGCAAGACTATCAATTGACGCCAGAATTCTACCAATTCATTGTCAGACTACTAACTGACGCCCCAACTTCCAAGTGACACTAGATTTAACGCTAGACTTCAATCATATGGTTGACATTTATAATATGATCATCCTCAAGGATGAGTCAGCTCACTGTACTCAACTCAAATTCTAGTGAAATCTTTTCAACTGGGCTGTGATTTTTCCCCTTTCCAGGATTTTCCACGTAAAAAATCATGTGTTCTCTGTGTGTGAGCTGGATATCCGTGCAACGCTAAGATGTAAAATTACAACACTATCACAGCGTATATTCTAGCCCACAACAATAACAATATTACTTACCTAAAATTAACTAAAATTATTATAAAACCTAACTCTCACAAGCTGCCTTCCACCTTCTTCTATGTGCCTACGCCTTTACTAACGACGAGGTCACTGACCACAATAGAGCCGGTGATTTCCTTTGCTCTCACATAATAATATTTTTATTTATTATTTATTTATTTTTTATTTTTTTAATCTTTTATTTATTTATTTATTATTTTTATTTTTTTTTAGTAATATGAAGATGAGAAAGTATTATTTCCTTGGGGTATCTATTTGCTTTCCTACAAGCTAATTATCAAATTTGTCAATCACTTAATTTATCTTACAAATCGAATAAAATGTTTATAAAGGAACAAAAATTAACGATAACGATAGCGCTTTTAAAGATTTTTCAAATTTTATAATATATTTGAATTTATGAATAACATGATTATTATGTGCATGAAGATTGAGCTTACTAATTTGCAATCGCAAATCAGAGCGTAGATCGTTCATCATCTCTATTGAGCTCATTGAATTCTAGCGAAGTTATCACTAACTCTACTAATCACTAACTTCACGGCATGGACAACATCTCTTTGAAGATCCCATAATCTTAAAAACTCAAGTCTATATTTTTAGGATTTAGCTCATGCTTCCCTATTTATTTCACTATGCCTCTATCAATGGAGAAATTATTCTATGCGGAGATCGGATGCAAAATGCAGTCCGGAGACCAGCCAGAATGTGCCACATCAACGGTACTAAGCAGTACCAAGCCAACGTACCAAACACATGGATGACGTGGCGTATTATTATTGGTCTCTGAACGGCGCTCGGGCGTCCACGCGAAATAATTTTTTCTATCAATGGCATGGGTAACACTAGATTTTAAACTTGTATATGACTAAAATAAAACTAAATTAAGAGTGAGGAAACATGAAATATTTATGTATAATGAAATATGATAACCCTAATCTACATTGTGCACAATATTATCATCACATCATAAATTCACATAAAAGTAAACTAGCCACTACTTTGCATGACTAACAAAATAAAACTCAAAAGTATCATTTAAAGTCTGAATACACACAATATAAAAAGAACAAACCAAGAATGTCCCTTAAAGTAAGACATGCACTTTCTCCATGAGTTGCTCGTAATTCATCTTATAAACCACACACAAATACGGAAAATTATTACGCCCGGAGTCCGGATTCGTCCAGACATCAATCCAGATGCGCCACGTCTCCCAGATACACCTAGGGCCTAGTGTATCTGGGTGATGTAGCCCGTCTAGAATGGTGTCCGGACGGTCTGGTCACCAGACGTAATAATTCACCCACAAATACAACACTCCCTCACTACAAAGAAAAGTAGAGAAGATAATAGAAAAGATAGCTCTCCCAAACTCTCCCGAAAAATTTGTCGTGGAAACCCCTCCCAAAAGTCTGCTCTTTAAAATGAAATCACTTATTTATACTACTTACAAAACACTTTACAAACTGATTACTCAGACCCACAATGTTCTGCGCTCTCAATGAATCATTATTTTTCTTCATATCATAACTAATAATTGTCACACTATTACGATGATAAGACTATTTGGCAATGGCTTCTCAATCTTTAGTGCAAAAAATTCTCCCCTATGGTGCTGCATCGTAGAAGTATGAGAACTAAGGGCATCTCCAACCGAAAATCTCATTTTTCACTCCAAAATGCCGTGATTCATCCCCAATGAAATTCCATTTTGCCCCGTAAAGATCGTTCTGTTCTTTTGCGTGTTTCTTCAGCGAGTTCGGTAAAGACCAAAAAATGGCGGAGATGAACAATGCAACGTGAATATTAGCGCTGCACTGTTCATCTGCGATGAAATGGCGTAAGAATTGCCGCTCGGTTGGAACGACGGAAGAACGACAAACAGTTGTTTGCCGTTCCATTGGAGATGCTCTAAGCACTCCAAGTTGGCATTGCGTGTAATGACTAAATTTATATAAAACATGCTTTGACCAACAACAATCAAGTAATTTTTCAGGGGTTATTATAAGTTGAATTTGTAAATCATATTTATCATATTATAAATTTTGTTGTATTCTAATTATAATACTTTTTGTTCCTAATTTTATGGGAAATGTAAATATAAAAATAAGAAGTTTCTCATTTAATTATAATTCCTCAAGAAATTCACACGTATTAATATAAGTGGGGTTTTTTGGATTATTAAGTGTTTGTTTTGCAAATAAATTTTACTAGAGTCTTCCAGACATGATGAACAATTTTATGAATATTTTTTCATAAATTTGGATCCTTGGATTTGAAGATAAAAAATAATTTGTATGAACTTTATATTAAAACTAAATAAATGGACTACTTATATTTGTATTCTTAAGATATTTTATTGTAAAAAAATTTATACACTTAATAGAAATTATCCAAAGCAATTTCCCCTTTTCTCAGTTGCAACTTGAATACTAAAATTTAAAACTTTTTTATAATCAATTAAATAATTAAAATTTTCAAATGTATTAAATTTGCTATGTTTTGATGCCTTTCACTGCTTGCTTGGGAATCCTATTAGGCTTCGTTTGGGACGGCTTTTTTATTGCTTTCTAAAACGGAGTTTTAGTATAAAAATAAAAAAATTTGTACTAAAACTACGTTTTACAAAGTAATAAAAAAGCCGTCCCAAACGAAGCCTTAGTCGCTAGTTACTTCCTTGCTCCGCTTCTCTACCAAACTTGCTATGTTATGTGCTACCTGGCATCATGGGGAATTTAGCTTTTTAGTTTTTTCTGGATTATAGTTAAATCTATATGATCTATAAGAAGAATCATTATGAAAATTTAAGTTTCTTCTATTGAGGGAAAAATGGTAAACTTTTTCATGGATCAGGGATTCATATTTGGCCTCTTTAACTGTAGTATCACCCTACATCTTCCATGATAAATTTCTAATACATTTTATTAAATCAGTATATTTTGCCTTGAAGGCTTAGCATTTGAATTATTATCTTGTGTTTTGTGTAGAAATTATGCAGTTAGCGCTTCATCTCTAGGAATTAGTCTACATTATGTTGATCTATTTAGTAAGTGTTATGTTGCGTTCTCAAATGTTTAGTACAGGTCCAGTTAAATACAGTATAATGACAATCTAATTTTGTTCATGGCTATATGAACTAGGTGGCTGATATCTAATGATGGGAAAGTAATAAAATTGTTCCTTAGAAAAAAAAGGTCCAGGATTCACAAACTCTTTAATAGACTAAATCTTAAATGGTAACTTAGTTCTCCTTTCTATAGATTAAGGCCTCGTTTGGGATGGCTTTCTTACTGCTTCTCAAAATAACTTTTTAGTATAAAAAATAAAATTTTTGTACTAGAAAGCTGTTTTAAGAAGAAACAAGAAAGCCACCCCAAACAAAGCCTAAAGCTGATGTTAAACACATCAATTCCTCTTTTGCAATTTATATGCACCAAGGCTTCATTTTTGGCCCTCAATTTTAAACTGCAGATGTGTTGTTTAAAATTGTTGGTGCATATATATATATATATATATTTGTA